GTCTGTCTGTCTGTCAGTCTGTCCGTCTGTTTGTATGCAATCTAGTCTCTCAGTTTAATTCGTAAGCTATTGTATAAATAATACTACAAAGTCTACTGAGAAAATCGTCAAAATTTATGCTATATAAGCTTTATCTCTTATACCACTGATTGTTCCTATACCAGTTTTTGCGATATATCTCCTTTACGTAGGAAGCTAAACAGCAGTGAAAATCACTGAGATTGGTGCTATATAAGGTATATATTCCATACCTCTGATTGTTTAGATAAGATTTTTTATATATGTTACTCCTCTATCTATGTGTGCTGTGAATATATAAATTTTTTCAAATACAGTAATCTGTTAAAGTAAAGTTTTCAGATGTCCATGAAAGGTATGAAGCCTTCGGCATAGCCGAAGACAGCGCTGCTTTTACTGTTATACGTGTGTAATTCGGAAAACGCTGTCAATGCACAACCAAAGAAAATATTAAATTTTCGCAACATTTATAAAATATAAGCAACATATTTGCACTGATATGGTATGCTATTTATAAAACGTACAAAATTTTCGAAAAGATAAGATAGCAGGTATAGAGGTGGAGAAACAAAAATAATATTTTGAATTTCTGTTCTTTTTTTTTTTGTTTTAATTTTTGTATAGCCATTTTAAAACACTACCCCTATGCTGTAATCCAAATGTTCGTAGTTACGAATTCGTAGTTCCGTTACGAAAATTCGAAAGCTCGTGGAAGAACAGCTAACAGTTGCATTAATATACAAAGGAGATTGCTAGGAGATTGTTCTGATTCATTTAGCTTAAATGATAAAATGTCAGCTCCCTCCTTTTAAGTGCCTCCATTTCACTAGATATTGTGCCACTTTAATTCTTGGAACGCTTTCCCAGAATTCCAACACATCCTCTTTAGCTCCTTTTATACAGCCTCGACCAATGTACGGCTTTTTGCTCATGGATTCCACCAGTTTTTCGTGTTGCGAGCGATTTGTTGTGATCTTCGAACTGATAATTTTGTAAACATTTAATAATAAATTTTTTTTCTATTCACACTTCAGCTTATATACATATTTTTGCATTCACACACTTTGGCTGAATTTCTTTATTCATTCTGAACGTTTGGAATAAACTTTTTTGTTTACTTATTCTTTAGAACGTTCCTGATGATATGTTAACGTATATTTCAAACGTATTCTGTTTATTCCGGCTGTGAAATGGGATTATCCGGAATGTATAAAGAAACGCAGCCTTTATTTTATTGATATTTTAAAACAATTTGTTTCGCTCCATGATACAAAAAGAAGGTAGTTTCATTTCAAAATTTTTGACAGAAAATAAGTTTTTAAAGTTTCATATATTATATATAATTATGAGGTAGGTACTTTGCCACATTGTTAGCAATCAAATAATACATTAGAGGATTTAATGTGTGTGATTTTTTGGTGTGGTATAAACTTTAAGTAAAGTCCCTTCGCCTCCCTGCCCCTTCCCCAAGCACTCGGGGCCAATTTCAAAATGGGGTAAAATTAAAATTTTCGTAAAGAAGAATCAAGCTCATCATCAATGTTTTTGCGCAAAATCCACCTCCAAATTTACAAAAAAAGATGCATATTTCAAACCGAAATCTTTGTTTTAAATCAAAGCTTAATCCTTTGACTACACATTTTTCAGTTTTAGTACAGAAAGTTGCAATTTAAATTCAGAAAGTTACAATTCATGTTCAGAATTTCCATTTCAAATTCAGAATTTCCAATTCAAACTCAGAAAATTACAATTCAAAATCAGAATTTCCAGTTCCAATTCCGAAAGTTACAATTCCTATTCAGAATTTCAATTTTAAATTCAGAAAGTTACAATTCATATTCAGAATTTCCATTTCAAATTCAGAAAATTACAATTAAAGTTCAGAAATTTCCAATTTTCGGGGAAAATGCTACTTCCTGGGAGTTAATTATTGGAGGATTTCTTTCTTGGTAGAAACAAATTCCCGGAGAAAAAACTCCTTGGGAACTGAACTGAATATTTCTATTACTGTTTTGTATTTTGCTTTTTTCCCCCAAACGACGTCGGGTGCTCTGCTATGTAGTACTGAATAAAATTAAATTGAAAAGTTTGTGACACAGTCGCTTCTACTATGCAACCTAAATTCTTTATATCCCACAATGAATATAAATTTTCTGAACTTAAATTGGAAATTTCTGAATTTGAATTGTAACTTTCTGAATTCGAAATGGAAATTCTGAATATGAATTGTAACTTTCCGAATTTAAACTGCAACTTTCTGAATTTAAAATGGAAATTCTGAATTGGAATTGTAACTTACTGAATTTGAACTGGAAATTCTGAATTTGAATTGTAATATTCTGAATTTCAAATGGAAATTCTGAATTTTAAATGGAATTTCTGAACTTGAATAGTAACTATCTGAATTTAAAATGGAGTTTCTGAATATGAATTGCAACTTTCTGAACTAAAACTGAAAAATGTGTAGACGCAAATGTTAAAATTTTTTAATTCGGGTAACGCGTTTGGACGCGATAACCCAAAATCATTGTACAAATAACCGAACCAAAATTTTATAAAATTAAACTGCAGTTCTTTTGATCTTACGTGGATAATCCTTGCCACAAATACATAGTTTCGTGCTTATATTTGTGTATATATATTTTTTAGCAGCGCCACATCTTTATCAGAAAATTCCGAGAATCCAAAAATTGGTACTGTTACAAGTTGCAGGGCATCATTTTAACTCGACCTCCTCTCTCCTCCACGGATAACGGTACATCGTTTAGAGGTTTCAAAATATTTTGCGTCAGCAATTTGTCATCAAACTGCATTAGATCGGGGCACCGAAATTGCGCATATGGAAACTTTGCATTTAGACATTATTCCGGTTTCAACCGTAAGTATGCATGTGCAGCATATGTTGCCGATATGACGTAGGGTTGCCTATTTACACGGGACTTAAATTTTAAGATAACGTCATGCATACCTTTCTTTAAAGTGCTGTATCTTGGAAACCTTTTAACGCAACTTAATGAAACATAATGTATTTCTTCCATCTTGTTATGGGCTTTAATTGTACATTTTTTTTACATTAATGTGCAACGTATAAAAAACAAAAATAAATTAAGTAAAAATTTTTCTTTTTGATTTTTTTTTGGTTATAGCATTTTTAAAAGTTTTTATTTTTTCATAAAAACTTAGTCTATAATGTCAACTTTAAGTACCCAAACGGGCGTAATGGGCTACTTATGAGTTTGGACTCTAGATCGTCTAACGCTAGAGCAATATGATAAATAGACATTGAATTTTATAAAATTGTATATTTTTGAAAGAGGAAAGGTGTGTAAAAAAAAAACAAAAACAATATGAATAAATCATATTGACTTTACTAAAGGTCTGAAATCATGAAAATACCTTTAAGGAAATGGCAGAATTGAACTTTGTTGCAAGTTCACATGGGAAATCTGCTTACGACGTGATTGGAGGACATTTTAAAGAGACTAGCAGCTAGAGCCAGTCCTCAACTAATGTTACAACAAATTCGTACACCCGAAGCCCTCTACCAATGGGATGCCTATAAGAAATAACTGCAACAAACTTCGTGCCAATTTCCTGTAGATTAAAATAATATATATTTTCGCTGCACGTTTTTGCACGGTTATTTTATACACGAACCTTTTAGCTAAATAAATTTTTTGGCAAGCTTTTTTTTTTTACTTTCACCATCAAATCTTGAAATCCATTTTTAACCAACTTCCCGATGAGATAGAGACTTGAAACTGCAAACTTAGCTCAGAACCCGATGACAATGTAGTATGCAATATGAACTAATAGCTAGCTGGCGCAGGTGTCGCGATATTTGATAACCCGTAATATGGTTCGATTTGGTTCATATTGATAACGTGTATTACTTAGATGGAAAGAAATAACTCCACCTATTTTAGTTTTTTTTTAACAACTTATAATAGCTTGTTAAAAAAATATTACCTTTTAATATTAACAGGCATCTGTTCCTTTTCGAGGAATGAAGTGTTGGTATCTCCTGAGTGGTACAGAAGTGAAAAAAATTAGAAAGTTTTAGAACATCTATTAGAGGTATTGCCAGATTTAGAAAATATGAATACTCGTGATATTGATTTACGTACCAAAAATATATGTAAACGGCTTCGACGGTTTTGGAAAGTGGCTCTTGGGTAGAAGAAAACGTGAAAAGCAAGCATTCGAATTGGTTGGATGTGACAGAAGTTGTATTTTTACCAAAACATGCTATCAAATTGCGGCCTGCATCAACTAGTGAACAGCCAGATGATCAAAGCCATTGCGCAGTTGGCGAATGTGGACCAACCAGTTGTAACTAGAATGTTTGTTGTAAACTTCAGAAAATTCCAACAAAAGTTTTTGCGAAATCGACAGTAATGAAGTGTTTTCTATTGTAACTGAAGCGAAACTCACTGAGTATCTATTAATTAGAAATTGCATTAATTCAAGAAAAAATTCTGTGTTGCCATCGTATCACAAAGTCATTTTCTTGGGTTTAGTTTAGTTTGTTTCTTAGTTTTTAGTTAAAATAGCTTAGTTTTTTTAGCTTAAATTCAGCCGTACCATACCTACGACTTTTTAACAACGGTGTTGATTGCAGCTTTTCATCAGCGAGATTTCATTGAGTTGTTATACGTATAGAATAATGGAAGCGATTTATCATATGATCGCTCTGGTTTATCGTTTTTTGATCCTTTGTGAACTGAGTAAGTTTGTACGTTAATTGAAGACGAAAGCATAATGCGTGACTTCTATTAAATTATTTGTCCTGAACATTCCATATTGGATTTTATTAAGTGAAAAATTAAAACCCAACAATAATCTCGAATCTAAAATCCAACGAAGAATATATGTATGTATATATGTATTTTATAAAGATTTACTTCGCTGGAAATGAATACATCCGCATCAAAAAATGTTCTTGCTACTTATTTCTCTTTAATTTGATTGAAAATTGTGTATTTATTAAAGCTTATTTGCATTGAATGAAAAATTAAATTAAAGGTATTTCAAGGTATATAAATAAGTATTAGGTATTTATAATACTACATTTGGAATGCGAAAGCATTTGGCGATTTAACCATTTTGCCATTGAAAACTATGTGCACAGACATACGCTCGTTGTACAGCAAATTCGGCAAGAGCTGAAAATATATTTATTTTTTATTACATACATATGTGTGTGTCATTAGAAATAAGGCAAAATACCTTTGGGGTAACAAAAAAGTATTGTGCACGTCCAGTTTGGGTAGTTTCTTTAACAAGCATTTCAAATATTTTACGCTCATTATTTGCATCCATGCCTTGATTTATTTCATCGACACAGCTGAAATATTATGTAAAAATCACTTATCTATAATTTCAACCTAAGCCGAGCATAATGTTTTTTTACCGGAATGGTACGTGGGTAATGTGTTGTAATGACAGCGTGTAAGTCGCGATTGCTACTGCTCTTTCGCCCCCGGATTGAGTGTGTCGGTCAAGCGCCTGTAGTTGTGCGTTGCTGCGATACTGCACCATTATTTGTATACCATACGTATCGTAATCAAACTACACGACGAAAAAGATTATGACCAACGCTACTCGTCAATAAAAAATACATTTTAAATATACCTCTTCTCGCCTAACCAAGTTTACTTCCCCTACATAACCCATAGAAGTCATAAAATCGCTGAAATGTATGTTTAGAGTAGTGACAATGCCCTCGATTTCGGGATACCAGCCGTCATGCAGAGTCCGTATCTTCATTGCTATATCCTGACGATTGTGTTCAGAGTTCTGCATTTCTTCCTTTAGTTTTTCTATATCCGCACATTTCTGTTTATATTCTGCAACAATCTAATTTGAAAACACAACCGATTATAATACGTTTGCCAATAATTCTCAAAAACCAGAAACCCACATTTTTGTCGACATCTCCCATGCATTCCAAACGCGCTTTAAATTCGTTGATAGCTTCCTTCAGTTCATCCATAGTATCTGGCAGCTGATTGAAAAGCTCAAGTGACTTACACTCTCTTTTAGCCTTTCTAGCTTCTGCAGTTTTTGAATCATGTAGCTGTGTTGTCTTTTCCATTGTTCTGGTTATTGTTTCGACCATACGCTAAATATGAAAAACAAATAAAGAGTTGATTTTAATTTACCATTTATTATATTCTCCTACCGATGCTTGAGCTTTGCTATCTGTCGTTTCCCTGATAGTGTTGATGAGCTCTTCGTTCTCTTGCTTAAAAATACGCTCTTTCATAACTGCGATTTTTTTTGTTAAGTAAAGCTTGTTGCAGGCTCTTTAAAATCTCAATTTTTTTCACTTTGAAGCTGCATTATTTCTTGCAGACAACTTTTCACTTTTTCGGAGAAAGTTTTTTTCCAACTCGGGCAAATCTGTAAAATTAAACGAGGTAAGCTATGTTGAAATATTATAGAATATTAACTAAAGACGTTTTTAACTTACTGATGACGTTGTTCCTTAACTGTTTCACTTTATCATTCTGCCGTCGACATTTCTCTTCCAATTGTCCTCTCTCCGCTATCTTACCCTCAATAGTACGGTTTCTGGCCATTACTTCTTCGCGTTTCACATTTGTTTCTTCAATTTTATTTTCCAAAGCTGTACGCTGATTTTTTAGTGCATCACTGCCACGCTTTAGTCCACGCAGCCTTTAAATGCAACGAATTATGCTGACATAAAATAACATAAACAATATAGCTATTTTACCTATTCTCATCCTCTAAAATCTGGTTGGTATTTCTACTAGTCAACAGATTTTTACCTATAATTTGATTTTGTAAAATTGATTTTTCTCCTGAATATCTGGATACCTTAACAGAGTACAGTTGATCGCCTAACATAAATGTATGTACATATAGCCAAAATTAATATTTGATTTAAGAAGGCGATAAAGACTGATATAACATTACCCCCGAAGAAGAAGTTTATATTATTCGGAACGTCATCTGCTTTCTCATTAACAACAGATGAACCAATCGGTATTCTATGAATGCCATTCAAATTGCATAAATAATTAATTATGGCCGGCGGGCCGTCAATCAAGTCAATTAAATATGCAGTAAAGCCGCAGGATCTAGTAAATTGAAAATTAAACTATAAATTCAACAAAATGGGTTAATGATTAACTTGCCTTAAGGAATCTATTGATACATCCGCACGGTAATTTATTTTACTAGCTGGCGGAGCATGGCCAACACTAACTTGTAATTTTTGTTTAACGCATAACTCATTGACCAGCAGCGAGACATCTTCTTTGTTTTCGCAAGTGAATGCAAGTAAATCTCGAATACTTATTGTGTTTTCGAAATACTTGGCATGATCAGGATCCCGTACGCTCAGCTACAAAATATTTAAGAGTTCATTTCGAAATAAAAAATTTTAACGAATCATCTTTTTACCTCCAATATCATTGGATTATATACACGGCCTTGAAATAAATCCTTATGATCATTTAACCATTGTACACCTCGATACACTTCGGGGTATTTCTCTCGTATTAACTAAAACACAAAAGATTTCTAAATACAAATATTTATGGGAACTGCTCCTTTTTCACCTGTAACTTTTGCGCATGAACATCATTTGCACGTTCAAGTCTTCTTGTCAATAAACCAATATCTGGCGTATACTGTTCATCTAATTTGCTGTTAATTTCCGAACGGGTTTTCATATAGCCAGCTAGCTCTTCCTTCAAACGTTGAAGCTTTTGAGTAAGTGCTAGTTTTTCAGATTTCCAGTCTTTATCCGCATCTATATTCTCCTTTGCCTTCGTTAGATCATCAAGAAAAAGTCGCAATATTCTAGTCTCATTTTGTAATTCATTATCATAATCCGCTTTCTCTCGTTTCTTTTTCTATAAAAACATTAATCAGTTTCGATAAGCAAAGTGTGTTTATGAGTTACTAATTGTACTTACTAAATATGTAGTTCGAGCTTGTTCGATACGGTCCTTTAGTATCTTTATTTGCTCTTCGATGCGCTGCTTTTTAGCTATAACTGTTTGCTCCTCTCGTTCCTAGTTTTAAAATAAAAAATACGTCTTAGATTAAAGAAACTTATATATGCAAATATATCAGTACTTTTGAAGCAATATCCTTAGCAAGTTGTTGAGAAGTTTTCGATATATCATGCTGACGCCGAATAATGATATCATATTTTTTTCTGTTCTTCTTCGAGTTTTGTTTTAGCTAGCAATAGATCTTTTGTTTCTTGTTTTTTCTTTTCATCCAAAGCGCGCACTTCCAGTTGCAATTTTTTCGCATGACAAACATCTAACTTATTCTGATATTCTTGCTGCTCATTGAATCGCTCTAAACGTTGGCAAAGTCTACGAAAAAGTATAAATATGTATGTATATAATTTAATACCTATTTAATCTTCGAAATTTGTTTTACATATGGCACTGCGCCTGCAGCTGTTCCAATTCTTCTTTTTTCTTTCTAACGCCATCGGCTTCGTTCGTTTGGTTGAGACGTAGTTTTTTTAGTTCATCGAAAGTATTTAGTGTTTCTGGGCTACAGACTGAGTTGATAGTATTAAAAAAGATTTTTTGTGGATCCATTTTAGCGAAATCCTGCACACGGTCCTGTGGCAGGAATTGGCATAAATTGCCTATTTGTATCTTGAATTCCATTATAGCAGCTAAGTAGGTTCTCTCTGACACGGTGTCTTCTCCGATTTTATAAGTGGATTTACCGCTGCGTGGAAAACATCGTTGGAATATCGTCGACTTGTTATAAGTTTCGCGGAAGATTTCAACTCTAATCATGGCCTCATCGCGCCCATTTTTAACATAGTCACCAATTGAACTCGAACGGGAAAGTAGCTCGGGCTTTCCGCCTAGCCCTAAAACTATGGCCGCAACCAGCGTTGATTTGCCGGTCCCATTAGGCCCGATAATAACATTCAAATACTCGGTAGGGTGAAAAGTGCATTCCCCGTAGGTCCTGAAATTTTTTTTAAATTTAGATAATTAATTTCGCATCTTTCATATGCCTAGTTTAGCTGATAAATTACACGAAATTTTTGCAGTAGACGCTTTTGATTTTCCCTTTCACAGCCACAATTGAATCATTTTCCAGCTGTGGAATTTCACGATGCGCACGCCGAGACATCATCAATATATTAACGTAAATATTCAAAACACTGCAAAACTTTAAAATTGCGCCTTTTAAATAAATATCAAACAAATAAATTGTGATGAGTTTTCAATACCCATTACATCAATAAATATTGGTACCAGTACTTCCTTTTCGGTACCCGATTCCGATTCGTAAAGAGCGAAATACACCACCCAAGAAGCTTCACAAACCAACCAGTGTTGATATTTTAAGTACAATTGTACAATTGTCAATTTTTCAGTCCAATTGGTTTTAAAAAGTACAATTTACCTATTTTAAGTACAGTTTCAACATCAAACATACTTTTTGTGCAAACGTTGAAATCTATGCCAGCACTTTGATTATTAATCCGTTTGCGTTTAAGTAAATGGACATACAAACATTTTATATTTGGTACGAAACGAAATCCAAAATTGTAGTTTTGAAAGTAAACGTGATTGTTGATGGTAATATTGGTGTTGAGCGTTGTGGTTATTGCGTTTTTTTTTATCGCAGAAAATGAAGTAATTAAGGCTGTGTGCGAGTTGACCTTAATTTTAGTACCTAAACTTTATTCCACTGGGAATTTCCAGCACTGCTACAATTTAGGAAAACAGCTGCTAAAACCGTGCCAGTTCGGTTGACAACCTAAATTGTTTGTTTTGGAATTTGAATTTGTTTGCTTTTAATAAATATATCTATAAAATGAATAATTTTGTGGTAGCTTTGGGACTATTTAACAATATAATAAGTTTGCAGCAGAGAAGGAGAATGCTCCATCCATCGAATTACACATATACTTATCTGAATGCAAAAATCAAATAAATTTATACTTACATCCTGTTGAATATTTTCTTTTTTGTGTCATAGCAATGATAAAAATTATTTAAAACATCAAAAAGTCGTTGTTCACTTAATCGCTCGCTCAAATATATTTGACTGTTCAATTTAGGTTGAAAAGTATGCTCGCAGAAAATCTAAATTGTTCCTATTCACTGCGTTATAGGGAATTTACATGAGGCGATTTTTCAGGCGATTTTTAGTTGAAAGCAACGATTGCCTGGTGTAATCGCTTACAATGAAGTTGGTCGGCTCCCTACTTTCGTTCAACTTTTGGTTCAACTAATCGCCTGTGAAAGTTGAATCATGTAAATTCCCTATTACCGACACTTTCCAGTGATTTAGAATTTTTTCTATTTAGGTAGCAATTTAGACGTACTCGCACACAGCCTAAGGCTGTTGCAGAAAACTGCAGCAGCATCTCTGCGGGATTGATTAGTTAACTTGCTAATGGAGGCTGCGTGGAGCAGAAACGAAATCATTGTGAGGAAATGCTGTTAATATAATAATAGAGAAACATTTCGGGAACGGCATTGCCCTGCCCAATGTACACAAAATGCAGCGATTCGTCCCAGCGCTACACTTGCACCTGCGCTTCTTGCATCTTGGCGGCTGTCGCAATTTAACACACAGCACTTCATTGTATTAGTTTTTACGCAGTCTTCTACTCAAAAGTCACTTATAAATTGCAAATTAACACAATTTAAACTGATTTTTCATTTATAATTCAAATTTCTCTTTCGCTGATTTGTAAACAAATGTTTATTTACAAGTTACCACAACTGTCAAAATCGGCAAACCAAAGTAGCGGTATCGCTGACGGCGCCTGGTTCCTCCTACAATCTGCACGGTATGTCAGACCAGGATATTCCGTAATGTGACATCAGTCAAATGCAACACCTGCCTTGGCTGGTGCCACTTTAGGGCATGCTCAGGTCTGCGCACCACGCGCACGAGGACGAGGAACTTCGAGGGCCCGTGCTGCGCTGCTCGGTCGCAGACCTCAACTGCGACGCCTCCCGCCACCACCACAGGGCGGCAACCACCTCAGCAGCGCACACAGCCAACTGCGGCACGACCACACACATCCCTCACACCCCGCATCACCACACGTCTCCCGAACCACATGAAGCTCCTTCAATTTAACTGTAAAGGGCTACAGAGCAAGATCGAGATAACCGTCTTCATGGGAAGGCATGGCATATTGATGGCTGCGGTCCAAGAGACGAAGTTGCACAGCAATTCAACGCTGTTGAATTGTGCCGGGTACAACGTGCACCGTCGATATCGCGAGCGGGATAATGGTGGAGGCTTAGCGTTCATTACGCACCACACCGTACAGTATCGTCTCATCGAAGCAGATACCGACCGCAGGGATACCACCCTAGAATGTCAGGGCATTGCTATCCGGTCAGGCGATGTTGAGCTCGAAATGTTTAACGTTTATATACCCCCTGTCACCTGCTGCGCACCACGACCTTTGGCACTCAAGCCTGTCAAACGATCGTAGGGGAACTGACTGGCTGAGCAGATAGACGATTCGACATTCTGCACAATAAACGACGACGCACCCACCAGGATTATGGGCAGCTGCTGCAGCGCGCCAGACATAACAATAGTCAGCGCTGGTCGATAAACAGCATATCATGGCGACCTATGCTGACTTTGGCATCAGACCACCTGCCCATAGTCAACTCGATCGATAAACCAACCGACTTTGCTTCCGCGGAGCACCGAACATATATCAACTTTTCAAAAGCTGATTGGAAAGGCTTCGCGGAATTTACTGAAAACACCTTCGCTGCCCTCCCCACACCAACCGACGTCCACCTTGGTGAACGTAAGTTCCGCAGGGCTGTCACCGCTGCTGCAGCCCGCTTCGTACCGGCAGGATGCATCACCGACCCACGCCCAAATTTCCCTGCTGAAGCGGCTGTTCTAGCCGATGAGCGTGACAGCCTTCGTCAGGCCGATCCCGGAGATTCCCGTATCAGGGATCTCAACGCGGAGATTCGGCAACTAGTAAACGTACATAAGCGGAAGAAGTGGGAAGAGCATCTGAAGACCTGCAACTTCACCTCTGGTGTGAGTAAGCTTTGGTCAACCGTGAGGTCACTGTCCAATCCGACGAAGCACGACGACAGAGTCGAAATTTCTTTCGGCGACCATGCTTCGTCGGACCCGGAGCGATGCGCGAGCTATTTTAGCCGGCAGTTCATACTGCATCCTCCGGTGGACAAAGCCAAGCGTCGAGAGACCAGAAGGCTGCACAAACTGCCAACAACCTGTGCCCCCCTTGCTTTCACTTGCGGTGAAGTTCTGGTGGCCATCGGGAAGGCGAAAGCCTCCAAAGCCATGGGTCCCGACGGAATATCCATGCTGATGCTGAAAAATTTGGGTCCTGCGGGGGTAGCGTACCTAACGGAGGTCTTCAATTTGTCCATGGCCACTCTCATCATCCCAGACATCTGGAAGGTGGGGAGAGTGGTCCCACTGCTCAATCCGGGGAAACCCGCCAACATAGGAGATTGTTATCGTCCAATAACACTCCTTTCCCCGGTAGCGAAGACACTAGAGGAGTTGCTAGTCCCGTATTTCACAAACCACTTGACCCCAGCGAAGCATCAGCATGGTTTCCGTAAAGTGCATAGTACAACAACAGCACTTAACGCCATAAACACTCAGATAACTCGTGGCCTTAACGGTAAACGTCCCTGTGAGAGAACGATTCTAGTAGCGTTGGCCCTGTCAAAGGCTTTTGACACTGTCAGCCATTCCACGCTACTAGAAGATATAGAGGCTTCCTCTTTCCCACAGAGGCTCAAACGGTGGTCGGCAAATTATCTAAGTGGTCGACACTCGTCGGTAATGTTTAGAGACAAATCGAGCAAACTTTGGAAAATAAAACAGGGGGTTCCACAGGGTGGTGTCCTTTCCCAACTACTGTTGAACTTTTACATTTCAAAGCTCCCTCAACCACCAGAGGGAGTCTCAATCGTCTCTTGCGCCGACGATTGCTCGATCATGGCGACCGGGAATGGAATTGATGACTTGTGTTCGAAAGTAAACGGTTATCTGTCTGAACTTACTCGCTTCGTCACTGCAAAGTGTCTAGCCCTCTCCCCTACGAAATCCTCCGCGAGCCTTTTCACAACCTGGACGAAGGAGGTCAGGCTACCGCTAGGAATTCACGTCGATGACACACCAATTCCGACGGTGAATAATCCTAAAATTCTCGGAGTAACATTCGACAGCCTGCTCTCCTTCTCTGAGCACGCAACCGCTATTGTCAATAAAGTACAGAGCCGCAACAAAGTCCTCAAGTCGCTAGCCGGCAGTACTTGGGGCAAAGACAAAGAAACGTTACTGGCAACATACAAGGCAATAGGCCGGCCGGTTTTAAACTACGCAGCACCAGTGTGGTCGCCGGGGACTAGTAGGACGCAGTGGACGAAGCTACACACGGTACAAAATACAGCACTCAGGACAGCGACTGGATGCCTCCTGATGGCACCAGAACACCACCTCCACGACGAGGCGAAAATGCTCCCAATTAGGGAGCACAACACGATGCTCTGCAAGCAGTTTCTTGCTGGGAGCCACAGATGTGGCCACCGAAATAGACAGCTGCTTGCAGAGGAGCCCTCGCCGAGGCACGTCAGGAGGCATCTATATGAACTGACGGACGAAGTCCAGAGGTTCATTAAGCAACCTCTGGACCCGTCAGCTCACAGACAGGCCCTGAACGGCATTCACAGGGACGCAGTCTCGAGTTATGTAGACTCAAGACCTGTGAATGCCGTTGTAGGCACACAAACACCGGACATTGACGCGACGGAGCTCCATCTGCCTCGGGAGACCAGGACAACTATAGCCCAACTTCGCTCTGGCTACTGCAGCAGGCTAAATTCCTACCTGAGTAGGTTAAATGCGGATGTGCCGAACGAATGTCCGGCATGCGGAGAGACCCCCCACGACTCGAAACATCTCTTCGCATGCCCGGAAAACCCCACAACCCTAACGGCGTCGTCCCCATGGACCGACCCCATAGAGGCTGAACGGTTCTTGGGGCTGCCGTTAGTGGAACTAGACGACAACGACTGAGATATTAGCTATCTGGGCAGGGTTGTTGTAGCCGCTACGACAACAACAACAACAACGGCGCCGCCTTTGTTCGCTGCACCGTGCTATTCCTGTTGCAAACATGGGTTGCCTTGTGCTCTTTTTCACAAAAAACTTTAGAAAACCGTATAGAAAGCGTAGAAAATTTCTTAATAACTGCATTCTGCTTCAAGATAATTTTACA